CAAATGTGTAGGTGGCAAGTGGATATTACAGATATAAGTACAGAACAGTGCCTTGAGAAGCAGTGCAAAGTCTCAACTGGTCATAAAAAACTGACAGCAAACCTGAACTCTAAACAGAAAATTGTAGTGTTAATTTGATCTTAGAGATGACAGAAGCAGAAGACTGGCAAGCACAAAATTCAGGAGCATTTTAACCTCAGTGATATTAAGGCAGATTCTGCATACAGGTCCCATAACTGTATATTTAAAAAAGGAAAAATAAGAGAAGAAATGGGGAACGGTGGGGGGAAAGATATAGGAAATATAATTATTCAGAGCTAGAAAAAAATATTTTGCACTGAAGAATTTAAGACGACTAATCTAAATACCCTATCGAAAGACAAGGGTGGCTTGAATTTAGTCTCTGTATCTTATGAAGAAAAAATAAATGACTCCAACAGTGGAAGACAGAAAACTGAGTAACTGCGTATCAAAGCAAAGCTGTTACATTTTTAACAGGGAAGCGATAGTGTTTCAGAGAAGACTTTCATTTGCACGACCGCTAACCGGTCAACCCACTCTGTATTCTCTGGCTGCAGCTCTGTCTTTCTGACTCATGGAATTCTTCAGCCTTCAGACTGAGCCCTGGAATTACTGTTTTGTATTTACTGTGGCTGCAGTTCACTTAAACACATCATATAACTTCCCTCTTTGTGACAGTGCAATTGCAGATTGGGATGAATGACCAGACAACTCTCCTGAAACCAACATGTCATTTAATAGCAGGATGATCATTCCAAGCAAAAGTAAAATACTTGACACACAATCTAACTACAATGGTTCTTATCTAAAGTCTGAAATTTGTAGGAAAGTGACCTATTTTAGACACTGCAGACATTGCTTTTATAAAGAAAAAGTTTCCCAAGTTATTTTCCTCATGATAAACCCCTTTTAAAACTTGAGGAAAAGGCTAGGAACAAGTAGTCTCATTTGGACATTGTCTGTTACCAATCTTTAATCTCAGAGAGAGGCTTAAATTATTTCCTATCTGCTTCTTTGCTCACTTTCAATCACCAAATGGAACTTGTGCATTTTTAGATCAAACAGCTCCACCAAGTACGCAGTTCATCTCCTTCCCCTTGCCTTCTTGCACAATATGGCACATAAAAACAGGTTCTTTCTTGAAAAATAGTGTTCTATTTCAATACTGTATTCACATTTACAGGCAACAGAGCTCAAAGTTTGACACCCAAGCTTTTCAGCGAAATGTGAGTTTTCCATTTCTGGAGGCTGGTGGATAACTCCAGTAAGTGACAGCTTAATCTAGGGTACCAATATTCTCTCCATACCCATTTTCATCATTTTTAGATCAGGTTCAATGTCCTCACTGTGATAAATCTCCTATAAAGATTTCTGCCTCCACTATGAGTGGGATATGGAGCAATAACTAAACCACTGCAGTTTATCTCCCAGAGGTATAAAAGTAAAAGAATACCACATTCCTAAACAAACTGGGCAGAAACTGTGACAGTTCAATAGCAGCTTCTTGTGCAGTTCAGCTATTCTTGCAAGAAGAAAAATCCTGCCCTGGATAGCAGGAGAGATTGGACAGATGAGGGCACAATCTCTCATGGGTAGTGACGTAAATCATTCTTTCAAGCCAGAAGGAAGTCAGCCCATTTTCACTTTCTAGGACTATCATGTTCAACTACATTTAAGCTACTGGTACAGATTCTGAGGTCTAAATGAATAATCTGATAGGCTGTGATGGAACGAATATCAGTATCTGAATGGATGATCAGCCTTATTAAATTGAATGGGACAAATGCATTCTTATTTTGTACCTTAAAAGTAATTTGATAGTTTTCATCAGTGCATACAAAGTACGTCCAGCCTTGCTGATTCAGAGTTTTAGAAAATGCTTATGCTGCAGATATACGTCACCAAGCTTTTGGTAATGAAGTCTATCTCATATCAAATGCATGGAGCTCACTGAAACTTCAGGAAGACTTTGGCATTACTCTGAACACATTCTGAACATGCCTCCCATGGCGCTGTTGCATCCATTCACATTGCTTCCTACTAGAAAGCAGCCTGCTACTCACCTTCTTATGCCTTATTAAGAGCACTTGTTTTTTGTATTTCTTGTTGTAAATCTGTAATCCCAACTTTTTGTTTTCTTTGCATAGTTAGACTCACAGACATTACAGACAGTTCAATCACACATTTCATTCCCCTACAAATGAAAGCTTCCAAATGCTAGTACTTCATAAAAGCATGAGCAACTACCTTTAAAGTTAGCCCTTCATTTGTACTTATTTTTATTTTCCAATCTATACATGATAAAATATTTGGAATAGCTACAAGGTGCATACCGAACCAGAAAACAGCTACTATTTTAACTGAGTCTGAGAAATAGACTTTGGAGGTGTCAGAATCTCAAAAAGTCACCTGTCAATCAGCTCATCTCTGTGTGTACCTCCTTGATCCAAGCAGATACAGCTCCCCCAGTATTACATTTCCCAAAGATTTCTTCCCCACCTGTCATTACTGACAAGCCATTGTTCTGTATTCAGTAACCAATGCAGCAATTCCCATACACATAAAGTCTGACAGTCATTAATATACATGAGTGCTACAATTTATCCTCCAGTTGACCTAAATACATATCCACCTGTTACGTATCGAGAATGTGACAGTCTCATTCCCTAGGACAGTTTTGAGGAATTAAGCAAGTTCAGTCACTCACAACTGCAAATTATTTTCATAACTGTACAACGGAGACAGTCACAGGAGACATCAGTTGTCACACTCCCACTCCACTGTGTAGATTTAAAGAATGAAAAATTACTGGAAGGGGTATCCTAACACAGTATCAGCAAGAAACTAGAGGCTGAAACTGTAATTGGAGCCCGAGTCTTATTCATTATCTAGTGTAAGAATTCATCTTCCTATGCTATTGGGTCCTATTTTCCCCCAAAACCACATTACAGTCTAACTGCACCTCTCATCACTTCCTACCTTTCATATTCCGCCCTTACAATATTGTGCAAAAAACCAATGAAATAAAAAGAAAAATCATACAATTATAGAACTAATATCATTAGGTATTTTTTAGTATTTCAGGACTACATTTTTGGCCTGAGCAGCTTCAGCAGCAGCTGAATGCCCTGATCTTTGTAAAAAGCTATTAAGTAACATGGCACCTGGAAAGTCTGCAATGGAAGATGTAAACCCTTAGCTACCAACAACAGGGCTGACTGACATAATTGACATCTGACTTCGTAGTAGTCGGATGAACCAAAAACGAACACACAGCTCCTCCAGCTCTAGTCACCTTCACAACATTATCTAGATTACAAAAAGATATGAAATCTCTTTTTTCTACCTCTATAACAATTTGTGGGCATCATCAACAACGAAAGCCTACTGAGAAACATGAAATTCAGTACTCTCAATTAATAGACAGAAAAACAGAGACAAAGGCAAAATCACTTTTTCAAGATTATCCAGCAAGTAAATGGCAGAGTATAATCACAATTCCAAGCCTTCTAGTTTATAATCCTACAATCCTCTTTCCAAGAGCCTGTATGTGGTACCAACTAAGCTGCCTAACTGATGGCCATAAGCACTCCATTCTTTTGAACCCTCCACCCAGGTATCACAAACCGACCATTCAGATGATGACACATGAATAATCCATAGCCGTATCAAACAATTGATATTACTTCAAATTTTAAGTTTTTGACCAGCACTAAATTCAATAGTTTTAATTGAAAAAACATTTTTTCCTAATTATAAGTTGTTGAAACAGGCTGCTAAGTCTGTATTCTACAATAACCCAAGCTAAAGCTTTGGGCTTGAAGAGGAAATGTAAGCATAGTGTTTTGTGCACCTCTCTCCAGTACAGTAATTGTACCTGTAAGTTTAATTCCCTGTTGCAGAGAAGAATTATGACCGGATTTAACAAATACCAAGCTGATATGAGTAAACATGCCCCTGAATTCCACATGCAACTACACTGTGATTCAAACTTGTGATCAATTGCTTCTCCCATCCCTGACAATTCAAACTTACAGATCTCCCTTTTCAACATTCAACGCTGCTCAGTCTGAAATCCAGCACAATTTGTTATATAATCAAAGAATATACAGATGTTATAATTAAGAAATATACAAGAAAGTCAGGCTTACCCTTGTGCTGGGCTCACCAAGAGGACTCCAAGAGGAGTGATCTCCAGAAGAGATCCTTCCCCACTGGTAGTCAGCTCTTAAATGGGGTCTTTCCGTGGCGCAGCTGAATTGCCTTCACCTGTGCTCCCAGGGCTGACTCACTGCTCACCTCAGGTGGTCAATCAGAGGTTCAGGCCATGATTCAGCAATTCTCATACATTTGTCTTTTAGCAGGGCACCAGTCTTTTATTTCTGACAGAATCATGGAGCTGGATGAACTGTTGAGAGGCAATTACCTTCCCCCAGAAATCTCACAGATTCACTTCATCAGATGGGCAACTCATTTAACCCATGGCTCAGTCCCAGCATATTCCCCATGATCATCTAGAAAAAGGGTTGAGAAAATCACTGGGTTTTCTAAACTTATTTACGTTGTTTATCTTAAAGGGATCTTAATAGCTACACTCATCAACTACCATAGGGGTTTACAACATATGGGACTCTTTTGCCAAAGGAAAATATACACCAGACACCTAAAATAAAAGGGAATTGTCAACTTGAATTGGAAAATTAGAGCTTTTAAAGACTCCAGTTAGATTGCTTAATTGGTAATGTGCATTAAAGCAGGAGTAAAATTTTCCAGGAAATTCTTCTGCTTACATTTAAGCACGCAAGCACTTGGAAAGTATTACTCTAAAAGTAATGCCTCCTATTTTACTATGCCGGAATACAATACTAGAGGTAGATGTTGGCATACTATGGCAGTAGAGGCTGAACCTTCCCAAAAATATTCCATTACATTTTGATGCTGTGAGACAGACAGACAAGGAACAGTATGACAAAATGGGGTATGATGTAGAAATATGCATTTATTAAGGTTTCAGCAGTGGCAACAGTGAAGTAAAAGACATGAAAACACTTTTTCAATGCAGCGGAATACTAGTGGGAAGGTTTTATTTCTACTGCCATACCACCAACATCCACCTCTCACACTGTGGGCCAACATAATGAAGCAGGAGGAGCAGCCCACTATAAATCAAAAGTTGAAACATCAACTTTCAGTATAACACATTTTTTTTCCCACTACAGAGCCCAACTACATTTCATACTGTTGGTTCTGTAACCAGTTTTCAACATTAAGGTTTTCTTAATGGAAGAATTATAGTGTGTTGTAATAAGGCACTATCAACCATATTTATTTTTGTTTTGTTTGGTATGAAGCACAAATATATTTCTGAGTCAGAGGATTTCACTTCACTCTTACTAACTTAAAAGTAAGCTGATAGTAAGAGAGACTTTGAGGCTAAGAAATTAAGAAGTCCGGAGTTGTGTCTTTCCACGTTATTTCTCAGCATACGCAGTTTGAAACAGGGTCAGTACAGTGACTGCTACACTACAAATTTCGGTTACTTCGCTTTTAGAGCCAAGATCCAACACCATCACTTTCTGATTTGTCCCCAGCAGCCAGCTGGGACAACCAGGGAAGAGGGAGCGATCCCGGCCACACGGACGTACATACAATTCAAGGCCTTGCACGCAAGCACCACGTTTATTACTTTCCTCCCTTTTGGGACACACTCCCAGCCACTCAAGAGCGCCGCACACACGGGGCTACAGCTTCCGTTGCTTGTGCCGGGGATTGGTCTTGCAGCAGACGTACAGCCGGCCCCGGCGGCGAACAATATAGCAGTCCTTGCAGCGCCTTTTTATCGACGTTTTAGTCTTCAGCCCCGCACAGAGCTGCAGCAGCCCAGGCAGCGGCGGGCCGGCCAGCAGTACCCGCCTGCGGGCGGTCTCCCCACTGCACAGCGGCACGGGGATGGCCGCCATCCGCCACCGTGGCGCCAGCGAGCACAAGGGCGAGCGGCCCAGCGAGCGGAGCGGCCCGACGGTGACCCTGGCCAGGAAGGACAGCATGATCCGCGCCCTGTGGGGACAGCAAGCTATGAGCGCACCGACCGCCACCGGCTCCTCGCCCCGCTCCATTCTGCCCCTCTTCTCCCTCCCTTCATTGAGGCACAGCGCGCGCGGCCTGACCGTTACCGACCCCGCCGCCCCAAAGAACGACAACCGCTCCTCTTCCCGTCGGGCCGGGGGCTCCTTCCCGCGTGAGCCGCGAGCATGCGCAATGCAGAGACCAGGCGGAAGAAGGGGCGGAGGACGCGTATGCGCCCGCCCGCCGAAGCGGGCTCAACATGGCGGCGCCCTGGGCGACCTTTCACTGCTTGCTGCGGCCCTGGGGGCGGTCGGTGCTGCTCCGTCAGGCTGCTGCTGTCTCCATTCGGTTCTATGGTGTGCGGGCTGCCGCCACGGGCGAGCTGGTGACGCACACGGGGCAGGTGAGGGGCTGTGGTGGAGGGTCTAGTGCTTGTAGGCTGAGGGCCGGGAGCAGCCCGCAAGGGAGCTGGCTGGGTGTGGGGAGCTCTAGATTTTCTTGGGCGTGGAGCCGGGCAGGCAGTAGCTGAGGGAACGTTTTTATCTTATGTCGTTGTGAAGCTACGCCGTTTGCATTTTCTGCCCTCAGAAACCTTGGATAGACTGAACCCATCCATGATCTTGGGTTTTTTTTTTTTTTTTTTTTTTTTCCCTCTATGCTGATGTACCCATCTTGCAAATCCCCTTCTTTTGGGGCCCGAACAAAGTACTTCTCCGTAGGCAAGCATTTTCTACTTGTTTCCCTTCATTTTGAGTGTATGTATGTCACTCCATAATGAATGTCTTTATTTATTTCTGTAGAACCCACAGCAGATACAGGTGTGACAATACTATTTGGTAGAACAAGTTCTCAGCTACAAAGAGCTATTTGACAATATAGTCACCACTATTAGCTGTGCGTTTTGGCCAGTGATGAACGAAAGTTTGCATGCTGAACTCATAAAACTCTGCACCAGCCGAGGTGATTTGCTGTTGCCAGTGCTGAAACACAGCACCTACTGCATCACTGTGTTCTTATGGACTGCTTGGTCTCCATCAACAGTGAGCATGCATCCACAAGTGCCAATGGGTGCTACTTTTTCCTCATAGAGAAATTTGATGGCATGTCCTCACTTCATCTTCGTTTCCTTGTTAGATGCTGTGTTGTCAGACTGCCACACTGCTGTCATCTGTCACACAGTGAGAAAATGTAATGGAATATTGTCAGGAAGGTTCAACTCAGGAGGGGAATCAGCTCTTTGAAAGGATAGATAGATAACAGCAGGACAAGGGTAAATGGTTTTAAGTTGAGGGAGGGAAGATTTAGGTTGGATGTCAGGGGGAAATTCTTAACAGAGGGAGTGGTGAGGTGCTGGAACAGGCTTCCCAGAGAGGTTGTGGATGCCCCATCCCTGGAGGTGTTCAAGGCCAGGTTGGATGGGGCCCTGGGCAGCCTGGTCTGGTATTAAATGGGAAGGTTTGTGGCCCTGCATGTGGCAGGGGGTTTGGAGATTCATGATCCTTGAGGTCCCTTCCAACCCTGACCATTCTGTGATTCTGTGATCTTCTACTGCCATACCACCAACATCTGCCTCAGATGTTGTGAGCCAGTGTAATTAAATAGGAGGCATTACTTTTAGAGAAACCCTGGATATTAATTCTGAGTTATTGCAACTCTGTAGTTCATTAGTTCTGATTAGAACCTTCTTGTAACACGTTTAATTCTCGACAACCTATTCCTGTTAGGTGATGGTTGAATCTTTAAGTTGATCCATGAAAAATGCAGAGAAAGTTCTTTGGAAATTAAATGTTCACAATGTTATGAACCAGAGTATCTAGACAGCATACAATTTCAGTCAGATAACTGGCTTACAGTAGAGTTGAATGCTTCCTTATTTAATGCATGCTATAGAATTCATTGTTGTTGGATGCTACGTAGTCAAAACTTGTGTGCATGTTTTTTTAGTCATAAGCATTGTAGTTAACAAAAATAACGTTGGCAGATAGGAGGTAATCTTGTGTAAGTAACCTTTAAGTTCATTTCTTGTATTCTTCAATAAATACATACAAGCTGAGTATGGCAACTAGAGAGAGCCATGTAATGTTTTGTGGAGTTCTGACAGAGGTGTGGCTGTGCAGTTGATGTTGGAAGGCCATATATATGGCTACTTGACTGTTTTTCATATATATTAGAAAATTTTATTTTATTCATATATGTATGTGTACATACATAAAAAAATAAAACTTAAGTTTCATAGTTCAGTTCACCTTCCAGATGACACTGTGATCAAGGAACAAGTAATAAATCTGTTGGTGTTTCTGGTCATTGCTAAGGCTTCTATTTACCAGCTTTAACCACCTCTGCCTTGTTGCTTCCTACCCCTTATCTTCTGTTTTCCAACCTATGTTTTCTTGAGGAGAAAGGGGAATTGTTGTTTTTTTTTTTTTTTCCTGTGCAGTGCATGCTGGCAAGATGAAACTTGTGAAGCGCTTTAAATAATTTAATCATGATAGTGTTCTTAGCTTTTGTAAGCTTTGTTTGTGGTCAAGGCTTTTTAAATAACATGAAGTTTGCTTTGTATTTCAGGTGTATGATGAAAAGGATTACAGGAGAGTTAGATTTGTTGGACGGCAAAAGGAGGTAACCTACTACTACTTTCTCTCCGAGGAGTGGGAGTAACTTTATTAATGTGAACTACCTGTCAATTACTTGGATTTGTAGCATGTTTTAATTTTAGACAATCTTTTATGCGCTTACAATGTCTTTAGGCAGGAAAACATTGCATATTATAAATGATAATCAATAATAGCTACCCAGAAAACACGTACTAGACATATTTTTGAATACTCAAACTATCTTATGGGTAAGTAATACACTGAGGATACCAGTAATTTTTTCAATGTGTATTTTGATATTTCAGGTTATATGTTACCTGTGACTTGTCCTGGAAACTCAGATTTTAGTGAAATCACAATGCTAGTATGGTTATGTTTCCATGCATAATTATGGTGAGAAGAATTCTGTGACTTACTACGTTTAAGAAGAGGAAAGAAATCCAAAACTCTTAATTATTCTCTCTGTTTAAGGAAGATATCCTTTAAGAGTAACTAAATTCAGAAAGTTCTCAACAAGTAGTAGTGTTGTATTATTCGTAAGAAATACCTGGCCCTGTTTTTCTGTAGGGATTGTGTTACACGACATGTGATGTTACTTGGTTATTGACTGAAGTTAGGCTCTTCAAACATGTTTTTAATATTTCTTCTTTTCCAAACTATCAGTTAAATTTCAAAACTGGAATAAGCTGAATAAAGACTTCCTCAGATGTTTTATCTGGTCTTGTTCACTTGCTGGCCTTTAGGAGAGAATTAAATATTGTTTTAACTCGTCCGTGTTCACCAGTACCTGAATATCTCATTAATGTCTTAGTGCTAATGCTGTAAATATATATGCATACAAAAGACATTAAGATGTGGTAGATTTTTAACATGTTCATACGTAAATATTACCGTTCTAATTAACTTAATTATTTTAACTGTATTTTTGAGTTTTTATGTTGAATTTTACTCCATTGAATCGGGAGTTTCATAAGATATGAGCTATTTGACTCATACTGCATAGCAAAAGTAGGAATTCTACATGGGAAATAGTTAAATGAGAATGCCACTGAACATGTATTAAGCAGTTTACTTCTGAGAGAATCCTGATGAAGTCTTTTCCAAATGCCATGTTTGTTTCTGTGTTAGTAGGAGATGCACTTTGGCTTTAATTCTCTAGAGACTGTGGGTCCCCTGATGTGCTTTTGTGAACAATTTATTTCTGGCTCACTTTTTGTATGAAGGAATTCTGTAGTTCATCCTTTGCTCCACTTTTCCCAGCAAATGGCAAACTGCAAGTCTGTTAAGCACCATCAAATGCTTGGTTTTAATCATGATGTCTGAATCAAATCTGCATGGCTTTACATTATCTTAGTAGTTTCCCAAATGCATTTTGACTGGTGGTGTTGAAACTTTGCGGAAGTGTCTACAGTCTTAATGCTGTCTTGTTTCTGAAGCTAGCCTGCTGAGTTGATGATAGTGCTTTCTCAGTTCTCTTTTCCTTACTGTGCTCTCCTTAATCAAACTGGAGCACTTACCAGACAAACGGTCTCAATGGCTGCACAATTTGGACTGCAGTTCTTGGCTACACATGTCCTCAATGAAGTCTGAGCACGTGCCTTGGCTCGGCACATGGTTTCTCTGAGCTCATGCCAGGCTCTGGGAGACAAGGTCCAGGTTATTTGTATATTGTCCCTTCAGTTCTGTCAGTCTAGTTGTTTGGCTAATGGAATCCATGTGTTTTAGTTGAAATCATTGTTCTCTATGCGGAGTCTTGAATGTTTAACTGTAGAGAACCAGGGGATTAATGATCTCTGGTAAAGATCTCAAACAGTCACTGTGAGAAGACTGAGAATGGCAGCTATTAAACTGCATCTGCTGCAGCCAGAACAGTGTAATCTTGTTCTTGTGTAATCCTAAAGATACCAGACAGTCTAATACCACACACACCTTCCACTTCAGCTCTACCTTTCCTATTTTGCCAGCGCAGCAGCTGAAGCTGTGAGATTAACAAAAAAAATTTCCTAAAACTCAGATTCCTGCATGTTAGTGAATTTTACATGCAGTGTAATAGATAATGCCTTATTTGGGGTTTCATATATATTTTTTAATAAACTTGTATGTGTAACGTTATCTTTGATAGAAATAGTTTTGTGACCTAGTTAGACACAGATAGCTTGGATGGAAAAAAAAAATGCTATGGATTCTACCCAGGTGCAAGTCACTCAGCTGCATGCCTCTGACACACTCAGGGAATGGTTATGTTTGTCAAGTTGTGTAGACATGCTCAAGTAAAAGTCCTACAGCCAGTGGCATCCAATTCAGGAATTGTGTATAAGGTGAATTTACAGAGCAGCTTAATGTTCAGATGTTTTTTTTTTGTTTCTGATTTGGAACAATTTGGTTTTCTAATTGTTAGGCACCACGGTAATGGTTTTTTTTCAGCTTCATGTGCAGTGGTGGAATAATTTGTATAATAGGAGGCTCTAAGCTATTGGCAGTTTTCTCTCCTAACCTTACTTGTCCCACTGTTATTTTTGAGTTTATCAGTGCAGAGTCTTTTTGCAGTTTTATCATCTAGTGGCAAAAGTACAGTACAGAGGCAGAATCAGTTAAATA